ATAGATTGTATTAATTTACAGGACACGGGAAACAATAGACAGAGCCCAGGATTGGCTCAAGAAGAAAATCTACAAGAAATCCCCACTCCATAAATCTGCAACTTCAAAACGTTTTTCTTTCAGGATTACTGTGAGCTAGTAATGAAATGCCCTCCATAAGGAAATGTGTTTATCTTGAAATATGGTGCTGAATAGGGTCTGAAAGAGAGAGGCATTTCCCCTTAGAATGAAACACCATAGGTACGCCCGCCCATAGGTTTCCAGTCTATATTCACACGAGGTGTTGTGAAAAACGTCAAGGTAAGCATTTACCATAAGTGACTCCCAGTAGATAGTACTCCCAAAAGTAAATGCAAATTTTCTCTGGAGAAAACTCTCCTCATTCCAAGAAAAGTGAACCCACTGTCAAAAATAATAAAACTCACAAAGAGGTAAAATGTCATGTGCAAGAGTCAACAGAAATAATATATATATAAATAAAACCCATAGCATTGGAATAACCAATTCAGAATAAGAACCATTATATTTAATATTGTTGGGAAGTAGTTCTCCACAAGTTACTTTTATTCCTGCACGTCTTGCTGCATATGCCAAAAAATCAAGGACCTGGCTAATTTTTACCAGACCATTTTTCAGACTGGTGTTTGCAGCAAGTAACCTTAAGGGATAAGATAATGTCTTACACTAGGACAAAGTGCAGGCTTGCTTACTCTCTACTCTGAACTGGCACATTTCCCAAAGTTAGTGTGCCCTTCCTGTGTTAACAGCTATCTAGGCTCTACAGGAGTTGGGTTGTAGGGAATCAAAGCCAATATGCTTACATTCAGGTTACTGCTTTTTCTGGAAGTAATAAAGATTTTTGTTTCCAAGACAAAAGTCTCATGTATTCATTCAGCATTTCCACAACTGTGGCAAGCTAATTTGCAAGTAGTGCTAAAATCTCAGACCCTTTATAGTTCTTAACATATATGTCTTTAAAGATAAAAATAGGGGTAAGAAACAAGTGATTAACAAAATGATTAAAGGCTTTAAAGGAGCAAACAGAATTTTCAGCAGTAAAAAACAGAATACTTGAAATTTAAAACTCAATAGTTGAGTTAAAGAGTAAATTAGCTGCAACTGAAAAGAGAGTTCATGAATAAGAAGACAGATCTAAAATTATCAGAATACAGCACAGAATACAGAGAGGATAAAAAGACAGAAACTCTCAGAGAGATATTAAGGGACATGAGCAAATCTTATTGGAATTACAGATGGATAATGAAGCAAAAGCAATATTAAAGAAGGAAAATTTTGTAGATGTTTCCAGGCTAATGAAAGACACCAATCTGAATACTTGGGAAGCCCCATGTATTGCAAGAGGCTAAATTAAAAAAATAAATAAATAAAGCCCACACCTAAATACAGAAGAGTGAAACTGCAAAACAACAAAATGCAGAGACCTAAGTGGCTGGAGAGAAAATACATCACACTCAAAGGAAAAAAATAAACTTTCAGCTAAGTCCCAGTGGAAGAAAGAATAAAGATAGAAACAATGGAAGGCAGGAGACAATGGAATATTTTCAATGTACTTAAAGAAAGTAGCCCAGAATTTTAAAAGCATCTAAACTATCATTCTAAACATGGACTCAAAAATAAAGGCATCTTCAGACCAAAAAAAAAAAAAAGGGAAAGGAAAGATAGATTTTTACTGTTTTTAGATCTTCAGATTCTAAAGGGAAAAGAAAATGACATAAGAAGGAATTGAGATGCAAAAATATTCATATACCAAGAATGCAAATCTATTTTATGTCAACTATATTGGATAAAATAAGAAATCTGGAAATTCCAAAAGATGGCAAGGATGTGAAATTGGAGAAACTTGTATGTACTGCTTACAGATTGCATATGCACAACTCAAAAAAAATCACCTAATAGGTATTAATCTAGGAAAACTCTTACACCCAGGGCATTCTTATACAGGAGCATAAGACATATACAAGTATGTTTGTAATAGAAAAAATCTTAATAACTGAAATGTCCATCAATATAACTCTGATTAAATCTGATAAAATAACATCATAACATTATTCAACAATGAAAATTAATTAATTATAAATATATATGTGGTCGAATGTTACAAAATCTTAGACACATGTTGAGTAAAAGAGGTGAGTCCCTCTCTCTATATATATATGACATCATATATAAGAATATATAGCCCCAAACAACAATGTTTTGCATATATATATATATGCATACACAAGCACATATATATGTATACACTTGTGTATACATATATACATATATATGGTTGTGAGTGTGTGTATGTATATCCTCAACAAAATATAACCCCAAATAAAAATATATGACAGTATTGAGGATACATATATATATGCAGTGAAAACTTTTTAAAATCCAAAGAATGATTAAACACAGATTTCAAGAAAAGTTACTTTTCAGGAGGAAAAGGATCAAGTTGGATAGGTTGTGAAAAGTCTACATATGTCTTGGGCCAGTTGTAAGAGTTCTAGTTCTTAAGTTCCACAGGTGTTCATTTTCATGCTATATTCTATAATTTACATCTATTTTGTAGGTACCAAGTATTATAATCTAAAGAAATTGACATTTAAGAAAAATAAAATGAATAAAAGGAACTTTCTTCTTTTTAATTTCTCACAGCCTTTATTATATACATATATTTATTTATTACATCATCCTTCATTTTTGTACAATGTATAATTTCCTGTGAAATTCCCTCCACCAATTCACCTGTGCACCATCACCATAGTCCCTTGTGCTCTTCCCACCCCTGTCCTAATCCCTCTCCCTCTTTCCTTACAGAATGTCTCTGTTCTATTGCTGCCTGGTGATTTTGAAGGAACTTTCTTAACCTCAGTTATGAAAATCTTTAATCAAAGTGTTATAGGATAAACTACTGGTGAGATATTAAGGGTGAAATACTGAAGTATACCCTTTCAAATCAAGAATAAGACTAATATCTACTACGTATCATAAAGATATGATACTCCCTACAGCAATCAGCAAACTTATCATTTCAATCAAATTCCAATATCCTATTCGGTTTCTTCATATTTGTAGAACTTACCCACTCACCCTTGATTCATATGGAATATACACATTCCAAAAACAGATAATTTTAAAAATCTGTAGCTCAGTGGAGGGACATGTCCTATGAGATACCTAGTTTTCCTTTAAAGCTAAAATTATTACATGAGTATCATGTCAGCAGAGAAAAAATGAAATTCTCTCTATATAAAAATGTCTAAAAACATGATACAGGAGAGGTAGCACTACAAACTAAAGGAGAAATGACAGTCCTTCAAAAATGGCCCTGGTATCATTGATTACCCACCTGGAAACATCACATTAAAACACCAAGGCCCCATTTCCAGACAGATTCACCCACATCTGAAGGTCTACCACTATCAATAACATTTGAGGATACAGGGCAGGGAGACCTGATACTGCTAGTGAAGACATAAATTCAGGTCTTCATCTTGGAGTGCAATCTGGTAATAGCCAGTAAAACTGAAAGATTTCACACTTTACAGTCCAATAGGTGTCTATGCAAGAAAAAAATTATTTCACTGTCTTGTATTGAAAAACTACTAAATGTGAATCAACAAGAGAATGGATAAATAAATTGGACTCTATTAAGCAACAGAATTAAGAATGCAGGTGAAATGAATAAACCAGAGCTGTATCAACATAGAAAACAGATATAATGCAATTAAAATGTTAAGCAAAAGGAAGCTCACAAACAATGATGTAAGCCAACTCAATTTAAAAAAATAAAAAGAGAATTGCAGAAGTAAATATATAGTATAAGGCTTATGCAAAATTTAAAAGACGTAAATCAATGCTATATATTGAGTATGTTGAAATACACTTACATACTGCATGCATTGAAATACACATAAAAGAGTAATCAACATCAAATTCAGGATAGTGAGGACCTTTGGGGAAGAAGGGAGGGACACAGAATTGGGTGGCAGAGTGGCAGGCTAGGGTCAGGCAAGCAAGGCACCGAGGGTATATTCAGTAAGTTTGCGCAAGCGCGGAACACAAACCTAAGAGTAAACCTAAGAGTAAATGCTCTCAGTGCCTCTCTAATCTGACCCTGGTCCTGGCTCTGTAAGGTGGGATACACAGACTTCAACTGCTCTGTGAAGTTTTATCCCTTTTTAAAAAGTGACGCTGTAAATGTCCCTATAGAGTGGGTTTATTTCTGCTTCGGCTAGACTTCATGTGTTTAAGACTACAGTAGGCATGTAATTTTCTTGAGCTGGAATTGATATAATGTGTGGATGTGAGAAAGTTGGACTCCAGACACAAATTCAGTGAGGACTTGGCATAATTATTTCTCATAGAAGATTCTTGATCTTTTTACAGAATAACCGAAAGAAAGTAGTGTTACTAAGCTTGGCAGTGAGTTCCTCTCTTTCTGTCTCTCGTGGTTTTACAATCTTAAGCAGAGAAATCTGAGAATAAGGATTGGGGAACCAATTTGGCATTTATGCCAGAACAGTTTCTATGGACTTAATTTCTGTCCTATTTCCAAGTCTAGTTTTCCAAACTTCTCAATTCTGTGAATTACCCAATGTCCTCCAATAAGTTCCATTAGTCAATTTTCGGTTGCTTGCAACCAAAGAGCATTAACTGATGCACTCATTCTGATGCTGTCAATCAATGAATTTATATAATTCTACCAGTTACAATTGATCCTTAAGAATCAGCTTTGTCACCATGATTTGATCTTCCACTTAACTTTGGCAGGATTCTATAAGAATATCTACTTGTACATTTAAGCCAGTTGTCAGTGCTACTTCTTCTGGCTGAATCACTCTGGGGTTATCAATACCCAAGGGATAAACCCCTGGCTTACTGTCCTCTGGTGATGGTTGTGCCTATGACCTCTGAATAAAGATTTCCAAGTTGGTCTGGAATAAGTTTCAGGTCTATCATTGTATCAACTGCGTCATTCATAATTATCTTACCTCTTCTGTCTTTAAAACTTCCCATATTCGAGCATGATCTTCCACCAGCCAGTGTCCTGTGGAAAGTTTGAATTTAGACACCCCTTGTGCAGGCTCTCCAGCAGGTTTCTCCTCCATCTTGAAAGAGCCAGACAGGAGGCATTACGGATCTGTGTGGAAGAAAACATTATGGTCAGCTTAAAATATTAAGTAGCATCAGAAGAGATGTGAAAGCAAATTACCATGCCTGATGTGCGGATAACAAAACCACTGAAGACAATATCACGATCGTCATCAACTTTTATGAAATATTTTATATTTTAAGTATTTACTATTAGTATATTTACTTATTTGTGTTTTATTTTATACCTTTTTACATTATTTTTCATTTTTGCACAATGTATGCATTTTCATCTTGGTTATAGTCCCCATACAATTCCCACCCATCTTAACTTGGGCTTCTTTTAATGATAGCAAAAGTTACAGAAATTTTCAAGCAAAGTTATCTACAATTATCTGCCTGTTAAGTCAGTTGCTCTGGCCCCATCAGGAGGAAAGATGGAAATGTGTGATGTTATCCTATTTTAATGTCATGTGAAGCTTGTGGAAGAGGAACTGGCTATGGCATTAGGAGTTTGACTCTTTAAGCAATTATTGAACACTTGCTTATATGGGATTCCATATAAACCGATGATTTCGTAGTTTGGTTCTTCACTTTAGGACGTTTAGTATCTCGGGGCAACAAGTGTTTTAGACAAGCAATGACAATATCATTTACTACAGCAGAGCATGCAAAATGCCACACTGCTTGTGCATCCAACCTGCAATGGAAGTAGTGAGGAAAATTCTCTTGGATATTTTTATCAACTGTGTTACTTTCCTGGTTTCCTCAGTTTCAATACCTGTTGCTACAAAGACAGTATTTAAAATTTGATAGCAATTCTCTGAAGTCTACTCTCTTCAGTCATATACACTACTCTCCCCTGGTCTTGCACTTTGAACAAAACTTTCCATCTATCACTGCTTTGTTCAGAATCACATCTTATCTTGCCAGCTCACCCCCTCCTGCCCTAAGAAATCTCCCTTCCTCCACTCAAGTCCCCTTATATCTACCCTTCCCAGGGAAATTTTTCTAAAATTCAAATCTGATAATGATGGCCCAACTACTTAAAACTGTTCTGGAGGGCCTCCTCTGGTGGCGCAGGCAGTTGAGCGCCACACTGTGAAGCTGTCTGCAGTCTCTACAGTGCTGGTTCAATCCTAGCTAGTCGGCCAGGGTTCCACATGGCGTGCAGACCTCTCCTGTTGTGCCCGCTGCTCCCCTAAGCAGTGTATTTCATCAGTCTGCCTGTTCTGTTCCCTGCTCTGAATCTGGTGAATTCTCTCACCCTCCTGCGCATCTGGCCTGTACCCCGGTTCTTGTATAAATAAATAAATAAATCTTTTTTAAAAAAAGTTTAAAAAAAAACTGTTCTGGAGAATAAAATCCAAAGTCCTTTATGCCTGGCTTGCTTCAACTCTCTTCTCGCTCCATGCCTTGCTGTCTCCTCAGCCTGTCTGTTTCAGTCATTTGAAATTCCTAATAGATCCCAAACATACCCAAGATCCTTTGAACTTTGCGATGCTTCTACCCCAATCCTCACTCCAAGAAAAGAAAGACCCCCTTCTCCTTTGTTACTGTATATATTCTTATAGTTGATGCATAACAGATTGTGCACATAGTAGATATATCTGTTATGTCACTCATAGTACTTTACACTTGCTTTCAACTTTATTTCTGCCTTCTGGTCTCAAAAGTATCCTGAGACTAGAGATGACGTCCTGTACAGAGTTAAGTACTATAGACATGCTTTATGGATTAATTAATTCAGTCATTCAATAAACTATGACACTCCAGAGCAAATGAAGCATCAGATCCGATATAGTCAATATATTAGATATATTCAAATACATTATATACTCAAATAGAAGATGTAAGAGTCAAGTTACCTCTTCCCTTTAACTTTTCTATCAGTGGAGTGGGTTTTCTTCATAAGAAAGCCATGCTTATCCAGCCATTATAGAAAGCTGTGTGTAAGATCCTCAAAATACTAAAAATGGATCTACAATGTGACCCAGCAATTCCACTCCTAGGAATCTACCCAAAGGGCAAAAAAGCACTAATTCAAAAGGAAACCTGTATTCCTGTTTTTAGTGAAGCACTATTTATATTAGCTAAGACATGGAAGCAATCTAAATGCCCCAAAACAGATGAATGAATCAAAAAAATGTGATTATATATACACAATGGAACACTACTCAGCAACCAAAAAAGATAAACTCATGTCATCAGCAACAGGGATGGAGCTGGAAGGGATCATGCTAAGGGATCATGCTTTGTCAAATAAGTCAGAAGGAAAAAGAAAAATATCAGATGGTTTCACTTACGTGTGGAATATAAAAAAACTGAACAAAGGGTCAGGAGAAAGACAAAACTTGCAGCTAGACCATAGATCTGAGGCATAGAGCAAGGGAGGGGGAGGGAGAATTGTCAAAACAGGGGGGGGAAAGAGCACAAGGGACTTTGTTGATGGTTCCCAGGTGCTGTGGTGGTATGAAAATTATGGTGACTACACCTGAGGGGAAAAATAAAATATTGTATAAAAATGAACATCAATGTGAGAAAATTAAAAATTAAAAAAATTAATTTTAAAAAGGAGCCAAATTTAATATTCATCATACACCCCAAGCAGTTGATACTGCAAAATGTGATTTGCTCATTAGTTAACTACAGACTAGTATTCATGGAAATTTCTTCATGGATTGAGCGTGTCTGGAAAAAAGCAGGTATTAGGCTCACATAACCCACTGCTCAGATGGAAATCAGCATGGATAAGCCTGCCATGGGTGACAAGTCAGAGAATCTGTGAAAACTGTCTTCTGTAATGGAGTTACTGCTCGGCCTCATGTGCTCCATGTGTAAGCCGTGGAGAGCAAGCCATCTGCTCTCAGTGATGACGAGGAAGCTGCTAACCAAAACCATGGAGGGTACCTGGACAAATATACTCCTGCTGAGAACCAGGAGACAGAACCTTTATGACTAATGAACAAAGTTCTTCTCCTGAGCGGACATGTTAATAAATGACACTGACACATCCATGCAAGGAAATAAACAAAGCAGAGTCCCCTGAAGGTTTCAGTCTAAGAAGAGGAAATTAAACAGGCAAAATGGACACATGCCAAATTGGTAGGGAAGTAAGTTCCATTGTTGTTACTGGAGATAAGACTGTAAACAACAAATAATAAATCAAAACAAAGTGGAAAAACTACACAAAACCGTATGGTTGTATCCTCTCTACATCCTGGAAATACAACTGGATAAACCAAATGACAAAATCCCAGGGCGAACAATGGAACATCTGTAGCGTAATGTAGCTGAGTGACCCCCTGGCTCTTACTCTACTGTCTGCCCACAGCTGCTTTCTCATCTCTGCAGTGTGGGTGAAAGTTGGCAAATTTTCAGTGTTAGAGACTGAACTCTACTGTGCACTGACTTCTCACAGATCATTCCTTACCCTGTTTGGGGAGAAGCTGCAGTTCCAAGTTGTAAACCATTCCAAAGCCCTTGGGGACGAGGCTGGCTCCAGAGAGGCAGCCAGATCCCACGGGGCTCTTCAAGGATGTTGGGGTGGGATCCACCCTCTCCTAGACTTGATGCCTTTCTACTATCCTCAGCCCCTCTTCTTCACTCACAAAAGCGATATAACCAATGCATGTTGAGTTCCTGCTGCACACCACACCCTCTGTGAACTATTTTCCACATTATCTTTCATCACATGGTAACCTAATCAGTAGATAATGCCATTTTACAGCAATGAAAAATCAGATGCATGAGGTTGAGTAACTTTATTACACTGCTAGAGAGAAGCAGAGTTCCCAGGTCCATGCCTTCTCTGCTAGGTCAGTTCAGAAGACCTTCAACCCCCACCACTACCATCGCTTCTGGAACACAACTTCCCTCTGCTGGCCTGCCCCACCCTCCACGGACTAAAGCTAAGGTGTCGTATCTTAGCTAACTGGCTTAACAGTGCTCCTGGAGAGACGTCATGTCTGAGGAGTCCACAAGAAGAGTGGGACGTTCTGCATTCTCTAATGTTCCACTCCACATCTCTTTAATTGGTTCATGTATTATAGATTTCCTATCCATTTCCCCAAAAAGAGACTTGATGCCTATATAGTGGAGTTACATTTTGTTAAAATTAATGTGGGAGTAACTGTAGACCTTCTACCTCTGATATGCTGAGTTTTTAAGTTGAACTACTGCCTTCTCTCCTTTTTTTTTTGTACTGCTGATTTTTTTATTTTAATAAAGCACTATTGTTTTGTATCCTTATTAATATTTTGAAAGCATAGGATTTCTCCGCTCAGGTGTGGTCACCATGACTCTCTCACCAGCAAAGCACCTGGAGTCCCCCACCATAGTTCACTGTGCTCTCACAAGCTTTCTCACACCTCTTTCTCCCTCCCCTGCCTTCACTTCCCTGCTGGATGCCTCAGATCTCTGGTCAGCTTCCAAGGGTTGGTTTTAAAGTTTGTCTTTGTCTGACTCTTTGTTTTGTTTCTCTATGTTCCACAAGTCTTATAAGTTAACTTCCATGCAAATGGCATTAACTTGAGACCATTCCACATGAGATGCAATCACTGTTGACCAAAAAGGAAGAACTTTCAATTTAACTTGGTCATGTATTAGTCTGAAATAGCACACATTTATGGAGATCAGTTTTGAACAACTGTCATCCCACAACCCCTGATTACCCACAGCAAAGATAGATAGATAGATTGATAGATAGATAGATAGATAGATAGATAGATAGATAGATAGATAAAACCCCATCATAATTGGCAAGTGTGGCTGAGAAAGTAAACTATATTTAAATGCAAATACCTGATCACAAAACATGAAAGCAAAATTTTACTCAAAGTAAAAGACAATTGTTTAAGAACTGGTTTTTTTTTCTATTTATTAAAAGGTGATGACCATATACGACTCTATCATAAGCAGAGAAGGTAAGCAAACAGGAAAAACAAGTCTGATAGAATGGGAAATGCTTTCATCTGACAGTAAGGAACTTACAGATGAGAAATACCATGTAAGGGTTTTTGAGGTTACTTGGTCTTCAAATCCTACAGT